TACTCTATGTAGAGTTGCTTTACAGTCAGCTGTACACAAAATGTCATTTATAACGTCTCATATATATATTTAATTGAATTTTAGATTTTCCCGTTGATTGACTGGACCCAAGGGCTCGGTCTCAGGCTGACATGTCCGTCGGCTTCTTGTGCAGATGCCTCGAAGATGTCTGGTCATTTGATTACAATTTAATTGGTGGATGGTGACTAGCAGTGGTGGAATCCAGGATAAAGCGCATTTCGTCCGATTATATGGGACTCGTCAGCTTATTGGATGTACTTGCATTCCCCAGTCAGTCAGTGATTGATGATGTACCACCCACTGAGGCTCGAACCCAGTGGCCATAGTTCCAAACGCCCAAGTCACAAGAGTCACCTCATTCTTGTGCAAAGAGTCACCATCAACCAATTAAATTATAATTACATGCCCAGACATCGACGAAGCATCTGAACAAGAAGCCAACAGACATGTCAACCTGAGACCGAGTAATTCGGTCCAATCAATCGACAGGAAAATCTAAAAATTCAATTAAATAATTAACATGACTCGTGACACAAGAGGCAATGACTCTTTTGACCCAAGTGGTCTACTGGATAAGACATCGGCGTTTGAAACTATGGGCAATGGGTTCGAGCCTTCGTGGGTACATCATCACTCAGTGACTGGAGAATGCAGGTACATCCAGTTTTCTGACGAGTCCCATATAGTCGGACGAAATGCGCTTTATCTTCGATTCCACTGTGAGTCACCATCCACCAGTTAATTCTAGTTTGATATATATATATATATGCGTCGGTGGCATAGCTGTTAGGATGCTCACCGACGATGCACATGGTCCGAGGTCCGATTCCCGGCCACCGACGAACTCCTTTACCTTGCTAAGCCAGTAATAAGACTGGTAAAGAAGAAAGGTTGGGCATGAGGCTAGCAACCCCATCCTGTAAAATAAACATTGCTACAGAAACTTCAAACCACTAGCTTGAAGCCCTATGTTCCACCATAATGATACATATATTTATATGTGCACAGTCGAAATAATTCCCTTCTAAAAAGGCAAGTCTCAACTATTGACTATGTACACTTTGAGAGCCACTGTAAAACCAGAGAGTACTGAATAACTGTTTCGGCCTAATTCAGGACTCTTCATCAGTACGCATCTACTGGAGTTCAAATTCAGGACCTTTCAATTACAGTGTGAGTTCAAAGACTATCCAGCCAATGAGTCTAATTTGAAGTGAGTGTACACTGTTGAAGTATCCCAAACTAGGCGGTGGAGGGGGGGGGCACAACAGGTGCTCAGTACTGTCAGCTGGTTTTCCAGTGTTTCACTAACTGATGTCAACACGTGATCAAACCTGTAACCAATGAAATCCCTGCAAATCAACATTTGATAATTATATTATGATTCCTGAAAATGGAGGATGAAAAAAAAAAAGAAAGCCTTCTTCGATAATAACTGTCAATGTTCTGTTCCTCATGCTAGGTGGTATGATATGATTTTTAGTAGTAAGCTGTTTTGGGTAAGAAAGGAAAGTTATTCGATGAGTCTATGAAACTGCATAGGCTGAAATGGCTAGATTACGTGTCATATATGTTTTACTATGGCTTTCTTCAACGAAAAACACTAGCTGATATACAGCTGGGTTTTAAAAGTCTTAGCAGTGATCAGAATCAAACACAGGACTAATATCCATGAAGTCACTGATTGTCACTTTTATTATTATTATTATTATCATTATTGATTCCTTTAATTACTGGAGGAACAACAGAGGGCTTCAGCCACGCCCGTCTCCATTGTGTTCGGGTTTTCTGCCTTGGCTCCACGTCTGCCCACATACCTTCATCTCCTCTTCGCATGACTTCCTCCAAGTCACCCTCGCACTAACGACCAACTCGCCGCTTCCCATTCGGGTTCCACTCGAGCGATAGCCTGGCGTTTGATGTCACTTGATGGTTTGTTTTCTTAGAGTATGGCCAATTCAATTCACCTGCAGTTCTTCCTACCTGTTTGTTGCACAATCAGTTCTTGTTTGGTTGGTTCGCTCATTGCCAGAGACCTCTCTCTGTTGCTGACCTTTTCTGGCCGGATATCTGAGCTGCTGATCAAGGCAAGTAGTTTTTTCGAAGTGACCTTCGTGATGCGGCTCCAAGTCTCTGATCCGTTTAGTAAGTAGTACTGACTTCACATTCGAGTTGAAAATCCGGATCTTATTTTTCATGCTGGGTGCAGAGTGTTGATGTCCCCACAGACTTGAGAGTACTGAAAGCTTGACACGCTTTCCCGATCCTCTCTGCTTTGAAATCCTCATCAGTTCCGTCCATCTGTAGTTGAAACGATACTTCCCAGGTAGGTATATAGGTAAAGGAGGTTGTTTCTTTCAGATTCCTCCCATTTATGCTGATTGTCGTCTGTTGTTGTTACTGTTTCTGTTGACCAGGAATCTTCATCAACTCTGTTTTCTCAGTGTTCACCTGAAGTCCTATCCTTGATGCTATTTCTGCCACCGATGACATTGGTTGGTGCCAGTTGCGCTAAAATCATGAATTGGTAGAAGTTAGAATTCATGGAATGGCCATTGAGGAATCGAGGACCAGTAGCCGAATAGTATATGAGCCAGCTTTCCTTGTAACCGGAAGATGTCCTGGTTTCGAACCCTGGAGGTGAGTGTGTATAGTCGATGAATCCCAAAACTTGGCTGTCGAAACAGCTGTATCCATTACTCCCTGTGTCTGGTTTTCAATGCTTCTCCAACTGATATCAATCCGTGGTCTAACTCGAAAAGCAAATCAACATTTCAAAAGACTTAGTTGTTACACACTAAGGTAACTTTTGTCGTCATCACATCATCTCCTAACACAAGTAAATGGTATACAGTGAGTAATAAAGTTTTTAAAGTTGATGGAAATCGATAATAATCAGCTCTCCAGTCTGTCAGCAGATTTTGTTCCATCGCGTTTCTAAGTGAACATAGAACTTCAGTAGAAGTGGTTTTATTTTTACAAGTCAGGGGGGGTGAGGCGGAGAGGGTGTTACTAAGCTCACGCCCAACCTGTTCTCATTACTGGACGTACTAGTGGCTAGGCGAAGTAAAGCAGTGAGTCGATCGGAGATCAAATGAAACGCCGGACCACATGAGGCATGATTGGCCGGCCAATGTTTTACCCACTGAACTGGCCAAGTTAAACTTTATGGGCACCACTAACGGCCAATGGATCGCGACGGCACCAATGACCTTGAAACGCTCCCTGAGCAAGTCAGTGAAACCTGGGAAATAATCTTGTCATCATGAATAAAATATGCTCATCGAAGTGTTATGTTATTAAATGGGATGTCTGGCAAGTTTCAGCTTAGGTGTTTGGGAACGATTAAATTACACTTTAAGCCAAGGACAAGTTAGGGTTAGGTTAACTTAATGAAGGCGACATTAGGGTTGGTTCGAGTTGGATTACAGTTAGTTTAGGGATATTTTCAATATGTACTGCAGTGGCAGAGTATAATTCCATTGTGGCTAAAGTTTATTTTGATAAGGTCTCACAGTGTTTGTTATACAGTAATATTTACTGATGACTTTTCGGGCACAATTTGTTGCCCAGTAAATATTACTGTGAAGAACCTAGAAGACCTGGATTTCGCGCGCGGATGATTTATGTTTGATGTCACACAAAATCGAAGACTTACAAGCGAAAACCGACAAACTGGTCGAAGAAGCAGCCAGTGAAGACAGGACTCCAAATGAACATAGACAAGACGGAGGTGACGAAAATAACCAGCCAACAACAACAACAGCAACAACATCCAGCGCCAATCACCATCAACGGGAGGAATTTGAAAGAGGTTACCTGATTCACTTATCATCTAGGAAGCATTGTCTCCTAACTACAGGCAGTTGGAACGGACGAGGATGTCCAATCGAGCGAGAATCGGGAAGGCGAGAAACACACACATTCATCAACCTGAAATCAATCTGGAAATCTTCGTCACTCAACTCACTATCAACAACAAAATTCAGTCGGATTTTCAATACAAACAACGTCAAGTCAGTCAGTTCTTTCTTCTATACGGATCAGAAACTTGGCGGGCTGGCGGGTGGGTCACAAAGAATATTTCCAACAACCTGTTGCACACCTTCATCAACCAACAACTGTCTTCGCCGGCTCTATACTGAAGATCAATCAGGTGGCCGGGCCGGAAAGAATCACCAATAAGAAACAAGAAACTATGGGAACAAACAAAAAAAAAACAAGAACCAATCGCCCAACCAACAAATATGCAGGAGAAAGTGGAGATGGATGGATTGAACACTCGCTAAGAAGGCCGCCGCTGGGTGACATCGCGCGCCCGTTGGGCCATCGTTCGAGTAGAACCCGAAAGGGAAGTGTCGAGTGGGACGTCGGTGCAAGGGGGTCATGGAGGAGATCGTGTGAAGAGGAGGAGTTAAAACAGCATAGACTACGATGGATGCAGGTGAAAAGTACAGCAGAAGGAAGACAGAAGCAAGCAAGAGGGAGACGTGCAGTTGAAGCCCTATGTTCCACTAGGAACCCAAGGGAACAATAATAATGATAAATATTACTGTATAACACTATGAGACTTTATCAGAATTAAATTTGTCCACAATGGAATTGTACTCTGTTGATACTCCAAATTAAAACTGAGAGCTATATTTATCACATGTAAGTGCAAGGTATCCTCTGAAGCACTTTTCTACTGTTTTTATGCACTTTTTTCATAAATATATGTATTGAATATGCAAAAATGCCTCTTTCACGTGATTGGTGCGTTCGAGGTCATTCGCTGATTGGTAGTGGTGCTCAAAGTTTAACTTTGTCACCAAACCCCACCGATAGCGCTCCTTCAATGACTTTAATTCGTTTCATTTTAAAATTTTAATGTCGTTTGTTTTTTTTGCCTCAAATCGATATCAATTGAAAATGATAAAACACACAAACGCACACACACACAAACAAACAAACAAAAAAGAAGAATTATTTTTTCTTACCTGGAAATAATATCCTACTTATCATTCCTGGGATCACCATAATGAATAATGGGAGTTGTTTAATCAGACCAGCCATTAATGTGGCGCCTTGTGCATGAGACAAACTTTTAGCCGCCAAAACACGTTGTACCATCATCTAAATTTTTATTTCATTTACGAGAAGAAGAAGAAGACGAAGAAGAAGAAGAGGGATTGAAAAGTAGAGAAGAGACGTAAGTAAGTAAATAAGTGGAATTTATTGTTGCAATTTTTAATTCAATAAATAGAAAAATAGTTACAAAAAAGACACTGACAGACGTACACATGACTACAAATTTACTATCAATAATATTTAACAAATTGAGTCATACCCAATACTCATCCACCTAACCCAACCTCCCCCCCCACCAGGGCATCTAATTCGGTATGAATAGAACGGATAGGATGGTGTCGTGATAGACCAACTTTTGTACACATCACAGTGAAACAAAAATGCGATAGTAACAGTGTTTCAACAAGGAGGAGTGCGCGATAATTGAACACCTTTGGAATTACTAGTGTTCTCTGAGCTGGCTGGTTTAGTTGCAGAGCTTTAGTCGCCCTATTGGACAACATGTTTAGCGCAATATTTTGGCATAAAGTGAAATGATTTAAATTCCTTCATGAATGATATAATCGCGTATCCCAGTAACCATCTTTACATATATATTGACCATTTTCTACTGACTTGGATTTGAAACTTTTGGTCACATGATTTACTTTGTATTAGTTGAACATCTTATCAACACTGTTGATTCTGTCTCAAATAACGTCCGTCTCCTTCAAAGTAATCCTCAGAAGTGAAGAACAACCCATATGCCTTCGTCTCCTCTGCACTGCTGAAGCTCTGGTCATTCAGATAGAGAAACTGAGGATCATTGATTTAAGAATAAAACTTGTGCACTATGGTACAGTATGATTCCATTATGGGTAAAATTAATTTTGAATCGGAAAATGAACAACGACAGTTCGTTATGATGTTAGATTGTAAAATGAAATGAATAGAAGAAAGTAAACTACACACTAGCGGCGTTTATAAAAAGTCAACGCATTCCGTTAACAGATATTTAGACTTAAATTCATCTCATCGGTTATCTGTCTGTAAAGGGGTGGCTTAGTTAAGTGTCTAACGAACCAGGTAGTAGTACTAAGTAGTACAAGAAAAGACCAGATAGAAGAAGTGTTGGTGCTGAGTAACTATTCTATAAAATTCATTAGGAAGATCAGAAAAGGTCAGATGTAAAATAAACATAGTGGGGAAACTAATAATGATAGCATAAATAAGAGAGAATATAAGTCATCTACGGTAGTTTTACCATGTAGGATGCTTAATAAAGGAGGAATTCGAGTGGCATTTAAACTTACAAACTCACTCAGACAGGATAAGTTCTGTAGGTTAAAGACCCTGTCGGTTGACCCAATTAGACAAAATGAAATAATTTACAATATACCCTGCAATGACTATGAGTGTGGTCACCTGCATAGGTCAAATTAGTAGGTTGGGGGTAGTCAGATTTTCAGAACATAAGAATTTAGGTAAGGTAAGAATGATTGCCCTCGAGGAGATTTAGAAAAAAGCTCAGCACTGCATTTAACTGCATGCATGCATTAGCACAAAACCACACAATAATGGGGTGGGAGAGGGTTGAAATTCTAATATGCAATATAGATAGATGGAGAGAGAGGTTGACTACTGACTGAATCCCTGTTCATCGAATAATCTACACGTAACATGTGCAATAGGAATGACTCATCACTTATACCAGGAATATGCAAAATACTACTATCAATCATCAAGTCAAGCGATGGAAAATAATGCAATTATACAAACGAAGTTAGAAAGTTGTGTGATTAGTGTCCTCATATGACTATGAACAGTAATAAATTGTGCCCTAAACCTGGTCATCAGTCGTAAATATTACTGCATAACACTGAGAGATGATAACACTTTTATGTGTAGTGTTGATTAACAAGCTGAATAGTATTCGCAAATCACCAGTTTTCGCTACCCATAAAGAAACTGGGGATCAACCAATTTGACTGTCATGATAACAACAACAACCTTGTTTACAGGATTTCATCATGAGGTGACATTACAATTAGAGAACCACTGGGAAACCTGGGAGTACTGGATAGCTGTTTCACCCTAGTTTGGGACTCTTCATCAGTACGCACCCTCGCAATGGGGTTCGAATCCAGGACCTTCTGGTTACAAGGCGAGCTCGTGGACCATTAAGCCACTGGGACCAGATCCAATGGTCAGCCCATGAATTCTAACTTCTGCAAATTCACGATATAGCACAACAGCTAGCCAATGGGTATATGTCCTCACACCCGACCTGCTGCATCCTACTTCATTTCAAAACGAACAGCACTTGTAAAACAGAATGGAATTCTCAGCATTTGTCCCAATATTGCATCTGATTTAATCAAAATTTAAATAAAACCAAAAATCAAAACAATATTAACTAGAGGAATTCGTCTACATTTACGATATAAAGTCAAAAATATTCGAAGTACAAAATGAGAATAATAAATATAATAATAATAATAACAGTGAGTTTGTTTCAAACAGTATTATCGATTTCGGTTTGGAAATTTCAGCATGTTATAGATTATTGAATCTAATGTTCTGTTGATATAGCAGCATGGTGAGGGGAAATACAAAATTAACAGTTATAACACAACTTAATAAAAACAAAAAAATTTGAGAGGATTATAAATATAAGAGGGACAATAACAATAAAGCTTGATGTTGTAAGGGTGGAGGATATGGTTTATTTAATAGTGCAAAGAAGGTTAGTTAGTTAGTTCATGCCAAACACTATTTTCATTGCATAAAGTACGTGCCGTCAAATATTTTTTTTTCCTTCACGTTCCCAGTGGAACATAGGGCTCCAAGCTAGTGGCTTGAAGTTTCTGTAGCAGTGTTTAATTTTTTACAGGATGGGGTTACTAGCCTCATGCCCAACCTTTCCACTTTACCAGCATTATTTCTGGCTCAGTGAGGTAAAGGAGTGCGCCGGCCAGGGATCGAACCCCGGACCATATGCATGGTCGGCGAGCGTGCTAACCGCTATACCACCGACGTACCCTGCCGTCAAATATGGTATAGTGGAATTTGCATACTTAGACGTACGTGCATAAAGTCTTCTAAAAAGACTTCTTGTTTTACCTGAGATGACACAAGGTTTGAGCTGCGGGTGGTGAGTTGGATGCTCACAGTCTGACAAAATCCCTTTAAAAAATTTGTTGCATGAAATCAAATGCCTATCAATGACAATGTCAACGATCGATATGGCCCAATGGAATACCACCACTCGCCCTACTGACAGTCTTAATTTAGGATTGTCTGTATCTTTTTATGAAGAGGCTAACAAATGATTTACAGTTTTTGCCGTATACATCCGCACATCCATAAACACACACCACTGTATGCCGCATATGTCAATCATCTACGAGCATGAACTTTTAGTTGAACGTAATCACTACAATTCTGATAAAAAGTATAGTCTCTGTTTAAAGTGTTTAACATAAGTATTGATTAACATTTGAAAGTTTGAGGTCAAATTCTGAACACAGTTCATGTAATAAAGTATAATTATATTTTAATAGTTTACACACAATGATAAGTTTTGTTATTGGTAATATTTCGAGCAAAATTACTGCTCGTGTTCACACCGCTGTTGGAATTATTTATTCATGTAATTTTATAACTCACATGATCGGACAAGATGTGTCCGTTTCATTTTTTATATATATACCTTTGTTATTTAATATTTTGACTGAACTTTTTTCTGAAGAAATTCGGACCAGTTTGCAAGAACACAGGAAACGTTGGAATTACTCATATCAATTTATTTATACATACATCCACTTCTAACTTAATCCGCTCAAATCTTGATCACAGTTCATCTAGATGGAATTTTATTTGTTTTTTGTTTTTTAAACTCTATAACTTTTGTATTTCTTTCGGCGGCTTACGTAATTTCATATTTTTCTTTTCTTTCAATGTGCATCATGACTACAACACTTTCATTAAATCACTCATCGGATTACGTAACTTCAACACACTTATTCAACTGCCTTTTTATGCAATAATTACTATAAACAACTATGTTTGTGACAACTTACCATCAATTTTGTTGCCAGCCTTCTTCATGAAAAAGTTGTATGTCACAATGCGATTGCCTAGCTGAAGAGAATAATAACAATAATAATTATTATTGTTCCCTTGGGTTCTTAGTGGAACATAGGGCTTCAACTGCACGTCTCCCCTCTTGCTTGCTTCTGTCTTCCTTCTGCTGTACTTTTCACCTGCATCCATCTTAGTCCATGCTGTTTTAACTCCTCCTCTTCACACGATCTCCTCCATGACCCCCTTGCACCGACGTCCCACTCGACACTTCCCTTTCGGGTTCTACTCGAGCGATGGCCCAACGGGCGCGCGATGTCACCCAGCGGCGTCCTCCTTAGCGAGTGTTCAATCCATCCATCTCCACTTTCTCCTGCATATTTGTTGGGCTCTTGTTGTTGGTTCTTGTTTTTTTGTTTGTTCCCATAGTTTCTTGTTTTTTGTTGGTGATTCTTTCCGGCCTGGCCATCTGATTGATCTTCAGTATAGAGCCGGCGAATACAGTTGTTGGTTGATGAAGGTGTGCAACAGGTTGTTGGAAATATTCTTTGTGACCCGCCAGCCCGCCAAGTTTCTGATCCGTATAGAAGAAAGATCTGACTGACTTGACGTTGTTTGTATTGAAAATCCGACTGAATTTTGTTGTTGATAGTGAGTTGAGTGACGAAGATTTCCAGATTGATTTCAGGTTGATGAATGTGTGTTTCTCGCCTTCCCAATTCTCACTCGATTTGACATCCTCGTCCTTTCCGACTACTTGTAGTTAGGAGACAATGCTTCCTAGATGATAAGTGAATCAGGTAACCTCTTTCAAATCCCTCCCGGTGATGGTGATTGGCGCTGGATGTTGTTGCTGTTGTTGGTTGGTTGGTTGATTGAAGAGGATAATAAATTCGCTGAAAAAATCTCCTTATTTAACACTACTACTTATTTTCAAGTATTGATGTTTATAAGGATTTTGTTTGATTGGTTAGAGGATTACA